GCAGTCATCTAAAATATAAGTGGGCAATTTTCCTCCCTATGATCACCTATATTAGGGATCATGCTTCTTCTTTCTGACCACTGTGGTATGGGGGCATTTCTAGGTTGGCAATACGTTATACAATTTTTTTTGTACAATTACCTTTAGATTGACCTACAACTATGTAGTGCAAGGCCCTGCCTAAATGAATACAGTTGAAACTGTTATTTAGGTTTGACCTTCTCATTTATGTTTTTTGGTAAATCTAGAGGAAAATTGTATAAGGAAATTATATAATATATCGGCAGCCTTACTCCCAATGACCAATGTTAGGGGGTACTTCTCCACTAAACACAAAAGAACAACAAATAAATATGAATTAAATAAAAAAACACACACACACACATTTCTGGTTGCTTTCATGCTCAGTGTATCCATGAGAACAGGGATTTATTTTTCAGGATGCAAGCAAGTATGTAACCTTTTTTTTGTTCTTATTTTGTTTTTTTTTAAGTTTGGTTATGTTTTTTTTTTAATGGCATATGCAAACTATTACTCACATCTGTAAATCATAGACATGTAAGTGTGGTATTTGAGGGTAGGATAGATTTTTAAATTTTGTTTTTGGGTGGTACTTTGTTATGGAGCCCTGTGATCTTTAATTACACCCCTGCTGAGGATTAGGTGTGTTCTGTATATTACAGATAAATTAGTTTTTCCAGGAGACCATAGTGGAGACAGGCTGGAGGTAGGATGAGGCATTGAATACCATCTACTATACAGTTGCAGTTTTATTTTGTTTTCCCCTCAACATACTACAGGTTTGCTTTGATATACAGAAGGTTCTATACCTACAAGTTCCTGACTTACACAGTGAGAGTTTTTATTTCAAAAACAGCTTTTGCAATTACAATGCTGTCCAAATAAAAGGTTAACTATGGTAACATTGTATTACACTGATATAAGTATTAACAAAAAAAAAATGATAAAAAAAAGAAAATACTGTATTGAGAATTAGCAAAAAATTTTTTTAACGGTCTTTTTTTTTTTTAACTACTTGCCGACCATCTGCCCGCAGTATGCAGGTGAGTGGCGGCTCTGGGCAAAGCAACGTACCCTTGTGTCGCTTTCTATTTTGGGGTGTGAACGCGCCCCCTGATGCCCCCCCCCCGTCAGTCCAGGGAGAGAAGATCGAACACTGCACTAAGTAAAAATAGGACATTTTACACACATGTTAGATTAGCACTTTTAACCTTTTGATTGCCTCTATAAACCCATTGACCCTTTGATCACCCAGTCACCCAGCCAGTGCCTGTCAGGGACCCCAGATCTTTCCGCGATCGCGCGCGCGGGTCTGCGCATGCACGGTGTGCTGGGCCACATTAGCATGCGAGCTTTAGGACCTGGCACCCGTGACGGCAGCGCATGCGCACTCACGATCGCGGACGCGCGCCTGGCACCAATGAGGGCGCAGGGCGCCCTATTTAAACAGGTCATATCTACACTCTAATTGCCGTATGGTCTTATCTGTATCCTATGTTTCCTGAATTAGATTGCCTTGTTGCCGACCCTGCCTGACCTTGATTTGCTGATTGCTGATTGTCTCCTGCTCTGATCCCAGCTTGTCTGACCATTCTCCTGTCTAATCCTGCACGTTTTGATCTCCTGTTACCGAACCTGGCTTGTGACCAGTTATCCTTCTGTCTATTGTTTTATACCGTCCTGCCTCCACCGCTACCGACCCGGCTTGCCTGACTCCGCTCTCTCTACCTCCTTACATCAGGCTCTCACCTGCTATACACCTCCGGTAAGTGCTTCTACCACAGCTGGGTGCACCCGGGGGCCACAACCTGGTTTCGGCCTGCTCCAAGTGCATCCCCACCATCAGGGGCCCTGGTGAACAAGCAGGTTGGGGCTTAAATTCTGCGCCTTGGGTAATTCTGGTCTGTGGAACGCTAGAGGCTACCGCCGGCAGGTCCATAACAGTGCCATTAGTACAGTGTTTATATGTAGAATCTTTCACTGATCACTGTATTACTGCCACTAGCGACATCAGATAGTGTCAGGGTCTGTAAGCTCCCCTCCCAGCCAGAGTCAGCTAGCGTTAGATTGCCTGCACACTATCGCACTCACGCTATAGGTCACTGATCACAGTCATTACTAGTATAGTGTTTGTACAGATCAATATATTGATTATGAACAGAACTATACTAATGCCTCCTTAGAATAGTGTCCCAAAAACACAGTGTTAGCAGGTTCGCTGCCATCACTATTGTTTAGCCCCTCCACTGTTTTTTTTACAGAAGATTTGCATCAATTGGTTGTAGGCCAAAGCAATTTATACACACACAACAATACATTGCCATCCACCCAAATTCAGCTCTTGCCAGACAATTTGCATGGAAAACTGTCACGGTTTCTGAATTTAAAACTTTTTTGGGACTAACCCTCAACATGGGTTTTACAAAAAAGAATGAATTGTGGTCATATTGGTCCACAGACCTGATTCATCATATGCCCATGTTCTCTGCTGTTACATATATGCCCAACAAGGACCAGCAACATACTGGTACATCGCTGGACTTTGAGCGGTTATACCAGGATGATGCTTGCAGCTGCAGGCATCATCCTGATATCGTTATTTTTAGCTGGTGGTTGCTTTCATTAAAAGCAATCCTAGAGGTTAATTTGCTGCTTGATTGTTTTTACAAGCAGCAGAAAGGGATGTCCCCCCTTCCCGTCGCCTTCCATGGTTTTCTTGGGTTCTCCCCTCCCACAGGGGAATCTGAAAATGCAGCCAGCACTGGCTGACCATAGAGCTGATTGGAGACCAGAATGGCTCCAATCATCTCTATGGTCTAAGCAGGGGTGTATTTACCACAAGGCAAACAAGGCATTTGCCTAGGGTGGCATTTTTCAGGGGGGGCAGCATTTTTTCAGGGGGGCAGAGCCATCCCCCAAAAGAAGGAAAGGAAGAAGGGACACACGCAACATGGGGACCTAGTGGGATCTGAGACAGGCTACGGGCTGCTTGATGGTGTATACAGAGCCTGACTCTTGTTCCTGGGGATGTCTGGAGCTGTGAAGGTGAGTGTCTTATCTCTTGTCAGGGTGTCGGGGGTTGCCAGTTTATGAGGGGCGGTGGTAGTGGAAGGCTCTCTCGGGTGATGGTGGGGGGGTGTTGTTGGTCAATGTCAGGCTTTCTTTTTGGGGGAGGGGAGTGTTGGTCGGTGTCAAGGTCTCTCCATTGGGGGGGAGCCAATTTTTGTGTTGCCTAGCAGCAAAACCTGAATGCACCACTGAGTCTAAGAAACTGGAAGCTACGAGCATTTTATCATTTCCATTTTGCCAGATATTAACATTAAGATATTTTTAAATTGGGAAAGCATCTGATCACACTGATCTTGGTATGATCAGATGCTTTAAGGGCAGAGAAGTTATCTAGAGTCTAACAGACCCCAGATTTCTCAGAAAAGAGTACTAGTCATTGCCTATTGCTATCACAGGGGATATTTACATTCCCTGTGATAACAATAAAAGTGATTAAAAAAAATATCTGCAAAATATTTACCATGACTCTTATCAAATTCCTTGGGGTGTCTACTTTCCAAAAATGGATAGGTAGTGAGGAAGCGACATGAGGAAATATGCCCTTTGAAGCCTGAAGGTGGTCATTGGATTTTGGGGGTCTGTATGTGGCTAGGCTGCCAAAAAGTCTCTCATGTGGTATCCCCATATTCAGGAGAAGTAGTGGAATGTGTTTTGGGGTGTTATTCCACATATAGCCATGGCATACATGAGCAATATATCATTTAATTGACAGCTTTGTGTCAAAAAAAAATTGTAATAAAATCTTCCATGGACTCAACATGCCTCTCCGCAAATTCCTTGGGGTATCTACTTTTCAAAAAGGGGTCATTTGGGGGGGGGGGGGGGTTGTACTCCCCTGGCATTTTATCACCTCAAGAAATATGATAGGCAGTCAGAAAGAAAAAGCTGTGTAAATTCTAGTATATATACACACTATAGTTTATAGACGCGATAACTTTTACACAGACCAATTAATATACACATATTGGGATTGTTTTCACCAAAGATATGTAGCAGAACACATTTTGGTCTAAATTTATGACTAACTTTGGGTTTGTTGGATATTTTTTATATAAAAAAAAAATAGAAAATACTGGGTTTTTTTTAAAAATGTTTGGGGTTTTTTTCATTTGTGTCACAAAAAAAAAAAAAAGTGGTGATCAAATACTACCAAAAGAAAGCTCTATTTGTGTGTGAAAAAAGACATACATTTAATTTGGGCACAGCATTGCATGACTGCACAATTACCAGTTGAAATAGCGCAGTGCTGAAAGATGGCCTGGTCAGGAAGGGGGTAAATCTTCTGGAGGGCAAGCGGTTAAAGTATTTATAACAAAAAATGCAGGTTTTTAACATGTGTGCAAAAAATGTAAGACATTGCCCTGGTAGACAACTGGTTAAAGCATCAGATGACCTTGCGATAATGTGTGGTTTGAACTCTGAAGTCTACCTTGAAATTTTTATAGCATTTTACTGTTTAGAGAGAAGGCTTCACACTTATGCCATCCTACATGATATACCTGTGAACTTGCTTCTGCTACACATTACTCACGTCCTGCCTGCACTAAACCCCTTTTGACTTACAATAATTTTTACTTCCTTCTCACAAAGCAGGTTTTCTCAGCTTACTGCCGAACCTGCAGTGACATTATTTATAGGAACATCTTTAAAAAAAAAGGAGGAACTGAAATGAGAATGTTATGATGTAAAAACAATTTGTTTCCTGTGTTGTTCGCTTCATGTTGTCATTATTACAGTAAGCATTCAGCAGCCTTCCATTGTAACAGGAAATGCAGAATGTGTATAATTCAGACATCAAAGTCTTGTCAAAGTAAAACAGTCAGTGCGTTTGATGCTACTGTGTGAAAGCATCTGAGATCAGAAAGTACTTCATGGGATACTGCTAAAGATAAAACATCAATCATACTTACTGTTCTGCAGATTCCTGGGGATCACTGGCTTCAGGCTCATGTTCCTTATGCTGATCTTTCAGTGTAGGATCCTGGAAAAAAATCTGGTAGAACTGTTTCAAACAATGGTTTTAAGTCTTTGGAAGTTAAAGAAGATCTATCATTACAATTTGTTGGTAAAGTGCCGTTCCCTATGGGACAAAATACATGTAGTAATTTGCCCCATGTTGCTAAGTGCTTTCGAACCCTCATTATGAGTACTGGCCTGCCCCCCTTCCCCTCCTGTTGTGGCCAATCTGACAACAGCTTTGAAGGAGACAGCTGATTCATATGCGCAGCTTATCTCCGCTGTGAACACTTTCCACAAACAAGCAGCAGCAAGAGGAATGCAGAATAAAATAGGAGAATCCCCCTTCCTCTGCATTGCTCTTGCCTTTACTTGTCTGTGGAAAGTGTTCACAGCTGAGATAAGCTGCACTTATGAATCAGCTGTCTCCTTCAAATCTGTTGTTGGATCGGCCAAAAGAGAGAAGGGGGGCAGGTTTGACCTCCTAGATTGTAAGCTCCAAGGAGCAGGGCCCTCCTAACTCTCTTGTATTGAACTGTACTGTTGCTGTATTACCTCCCCGTTATATTGTAAAGCACTGAGCAAACTGTTGGCGCTATATAAATCCTGTATAATAATAGGTAGGTTAGAGAGCACTTAAAAACATGTGACAAAGTAATACATGTACTTTGTCCCATAGGGGACATGACTGCAACAACATTTATAATGATACACCTTTTTAGAATCTCTTAGAAGACATAAAATGCCATTCAATCCAGTTTCAATGTAATCGTTATTAAAACATTAAATTAATTTTTACATATAGCTAGCTTGCCATAAGTACCTTTAAAATGTCTTGACATTAGTGTCTTGTAATCCCTCACACATTAGTAGACTGATAGGTGGAAGGTCAGCACTCCAAGCTAACCATGCTCTTTGCATTGCACAGTGCTTGCAGTCTACATTCTTCAACAAGAGTATAGCAGAAGAGATGACTTCATCAATTCTACTGCTAAAGTATAACTAAAGGCAATTTTATATTTAGTTTTGGATAGAGTGGAGATGGATTAGAACACCTGTCAGGTTTTTATTGCTATCTATGCCCCCGTTAGGGAGATATGCCCTATATACCCATATGGAAATAAAATATATTTGAAATGCTACAATTTTGGCCATATTATATAATATATACTGAAATACATTGAATATGGCCAAAATTGTAGCATTTCAAATATATGTCAAAATATTTGGGAAGAATATTTTTTAAATATATGAAAAATATATATATACACACACATATATACTATATTTGAAATATATATTTGATATATATATATACAGTCATGGCCGAAATTGTTGGCACCCTTGATATTTTTCCTGAAAATCAAGTATTTCACACAAAAAAAGGTATTGCATTAACACATGTTTTGCTATACACATGTTTATTCCCTTTGTATGTATTGGAACAAATATAAAACAGAGGCAGAAAAGCAAATATGACATAATGTCACACAAAACCCCAAAAATGGGCTGGACAAAAGTATTGGCACCCTTAACTTAATATTTGGTTGCACACCCTTTGGAAAACATAACTGAAATCAGTCGCTTCCTATAACCATCAATAAGCTTCTGACACCTCTCACCCGGAATTTTGGACCACTCTTCCTTTGCAAACAGCTCCAGGTCTCTCTTATTGGAAGGACACCTTTTCCCAACAGCAATTTTAAGATCTCTCCACAGGTGTTCAATGGGATTTAGATCTGGGCTCATTGCTGGCCACTTCAGAACTCTCCAGCGCTTCTTTGCCATCCATTTCTGAGTGCTTTTTGACGTATGTTTGGGGTCATTGTCCTGCTGGAAGACCCAGGATCTTGGACGCAAACCCAGCTTTCTGACACTGGGCCCTACAGTGCGACCCAAAATCCTTTGGTAATCCTCAGATTTCATGATGCCTTGCACACAGTCAAGGCACCCAGTGCCAGAGGCAGCAAAACAACCCCAAAAAACATCATTGAACCTCCACCATATTTTACCGTAGGTACTGTGTTTTGTTCTTTGTAGGCCTCATTCCGTTTTCGGTAAACAGTAGAATGATGTGCTTTACCGAAAAGCTCTATCTTGGTCTCATCTGTCCACAAGACGTTTTCCCAGAAGGCTTTTGGCTTACTCAAGTACATTTTGGCAAACTGTAGTCTTGCTTTTTTATGTCTCTGTGTCAGCAGTGGGGTCCTCCTGGGTCTCCTGCCATAGCGTTTCATTTCATTTAAATGTCGACGGATAGTTCGCGCTGACACTGATGCTCCCTGAGCCTGCAGGACAGCTTGAATGTCTTTGGAACATGTTTGGGGCTGCTTATCCACCATCCGGACTATTCTGCGTTGCAATCTTTCATCAATTTTCCTCATCCGTCCACGACCAGGGAGATTAGCTACAGTGCCATGGGTTGCAAACTTCTTGATAATGTTGCGCACTGTGGACAAAGGCAAATCTAGTTCTCTGGAGATGGACTTGTAACCTTGAGATTGTTGATATTTTGCCACAATTTTGGTTCTCAGGTCCTCAGACAGTTCTCGTCTCCTCTTTCTGTTGTCCATGCTTAGTGTGGCACAGACAGACACACAATGCAAAGGTTAAGTGAACGTCTCTCCTTTTTATCTGCTTTCAGGTGTGATTTCTATATTGCCCACACCTGTTACTTGCCCCAGGTGAGTTTACAGGAGCATCACATGCTTGTAACATTCTTATTTATCCGCAGTTGTGAAAGGGTGCCAATACTTTTGTCCAGCCCATTTTTGGAGGTTTGTGTGACATTATGTCGAATTTGCTTTCTTTCCTCCCTTTTTTTGTTTTGTCCCAATACACACAAAGGGAATAAACATGTGTATAGCAAAACATGTGTTAATGCAATACGTTTCGTGAGAAATACATGATTTCCTGGAGAAATATCAAGGGTGCCAACAATTTCGGCCATGACTGTATATATATATATATATATATATATATATTTGAAAAAAAATATATATATTTTTTTTTACATACATACATATAAACACAACGCATGTTGAAATAAGTTTTTTATTACAAAATATATGAAAAATATTTTTAAAAATACATTTCAAATATACTGTATGTCTTTAAAAATACAAATCTACACATTTGGAATGCATTTACAAATATATGTAAAAATTATATGATATATATACTTGATGATGAAATGCATTTTTTATATATTATAAAATATATGAAAAATATTTTTTAAAAATATTTTTTTAAAATATATTCTTCAGATTTTTGTTAAAATATATGTTAAAATGATATGATATATATACTTGATGTTGAAATGCGTTTTTTATATATTATAAAAGATATGAAAAATATTTTTAAAAAATATTTTTTTTTAAAATATATTCTTCAGATTTTTTTTAAACATATAAAAAAGTCATTTTAACATATATTTTTTTACATATACTTGCAAATGCATCCCAAAAATGTAGATTTGTGTTTTAAAGACATACAGTTTATTTGAAATTTATTTTAAAAAATATTTTCCATATGTTCTGCAATAAAAACGCATTTCAACATGCAGTATATATATATATATATATATATATATATATATATTGAAATATATTGAATATGGCCAAAATTTTAGCATTTAAAATATATGTCAATATATTTGGGAAGAATATTTTTAAAATATATCTCAAATATATTTTTCTTCCATGTGGGTATGTCCTGTTTACCGTTGTCACATAGTGTAATAGTGAAAGAAAATCCCAAATTGTGGGTCGTCATGAGCACAGAAATAGAGGGGGAATCTACCAAGTGGGATGTTACTTTTAGTGACCCTGGTTTCTTCTCACTTCCTGTTTTGGCTATGGGACCGAAAGTGAAGGGAAATCTCCTCAATGGGACTCATATAGCAATAAAATTGTCAAAATGAAAAAAAAAGGGTTTTTGCCTTTAGTTTTACTTAAAAATGGCTTGTAGAAAAAGAGTTTTGAGACTTTTTCAGTTTGCATTAACCAGTCACAGTCAGGGATCAAGCAGTATCCTGAAAATTGTGCCTTTTGCCAGAAAACTAGCAGTGCACTTGTGTCGTGCTGTTCTGTAGATTATGGTTACATTTATACAGGCTTTGTGCCTTGGTGGGAATGGCAGTGGCAGGAATCTATCGATTCCTGCTACTGTTATTGACACCTGTTAACGGCTAGCCGCAGCTGCCGAGCTCATAGCAGTTTGTGGATGCTTGCGCGGCCAGCGTGCGGCCAGCAATCAAAACAACCTGAAACCATAACATTTCCACCAACATCCACACAGGTGGTATGAGGTTTTTCTCCCCAAAAATCTGTCTTCAGTTTGTACCAAACATGTCTACTGTTACCATGGGCAATCAAATCTATTGTCAAATCAACAGTCCACAGCAAACTGTTTCAGAAGTCCTGGTCTTTGCCTATATGTCTAACCACTTGCCCTCCTGAGGATTTACCCCCCTTCCTGACCAGGCCGTTTTTTGCATTATGGCGCTGCGTTACTTTCACTGACAATTACACAGTCATGCAAAACCACACCTAGATGAAATGTACCTCCTTTTTTTTCCACGAATTGAGCTTTCTTTCAGTGGTATTTGTTCGCCTGTGCGTTTTTTATTTTTTGCGCTATAAGATTTTTGAGAATTGTGAGAAAAAAACAATATTTTTTGGACTTTTTGCTATTAACCTCTTCACGCCTGCCGCACACAAATGTGTGGCCTCCCCGGTATCTGGGCCTAGACGCCGAGCGGCCGCACATTTGCTTTCTATTTAAAAAAGTACATATGTGCCCTGGGCACATGTCCAGTACTCACGGAAAGGTCCCGATCTCCTCTTTTGGTATGTCAGTTTTATGTATCATTTGCTCAAGTATATCACCTTCACCTCTATTTCAAATACAGTCAGGTCCATAAATATTGGGACATTGACACAATTCTAACATTTTTGGGCTCTATACACCACCACAATGGATTTGAAATGAAACGAACAAGATGTGCTTTAACTGCAGACTGTCAGCTTTAATTTGAGGGTATTTACATCCAAATCAGGTGAACAGTGTAGGACTTACAACAGTTTGCATATGTGCCTCCCACTTGTTAAGGGACCAAAAGTAATGGGACAGAATAATAATCATAAATCAAACTTTCACTTTTTAATACCTGGTTGCAAATCCTTTGCTGTCAATTACAGCTTGAAGTCTGGAACGCACAGACATCACCAGACGCTGGGTTTCATCCCTGGTGATGCTCTGCCAGGCCTCTACTGCAACTGTCTTCAGTTCCTGCTTGTTCTTGGGGCATTTTCCCTTCAGTTTTGTCTTCAGCAAGTGAAATGCATGCTCAATCAGATTCAGATCAGGTGATTGACTTGGCCATTGCATAACATTCCTCTTCTTTCCCTTAAAAAACTCTTTGGTTGCTTTTGCAGTATGCTTTGGGTCATTGTCCATCTGCACCGTGAAGCGGCGTCCAATGAGTTCTGAAGCATTTGGCTGAATATGAGCAGATAATATTGCCAGAAACACTTCAGAATTCAGCCTGCTGCTTCTGCCAGCAGTCACATCATCAATAAATACAAGAGAACCAGTTCCATTGTCAGCCATACATGCCCACGCCATGACACTACTACCACCATGCTTCACTGATGAGGTGGTATGCTTAGGATCATGAGCAGTTCCTTTTCTTCTCCATACTCTTCTCTTCCCATGACTCTGGTACAAGTTGATCTTGGTCTCATCTGTCCATAGGATGTTGTTCCAGAACTGTGAAGGATTTTTTAGATGTCGTTTGGCAAACTCTAATCTGGCCTTCCTGTTTTTGAGGCTCACCAATGGTTTCCATCTTGTGGCGAACCCTCTGTATTCACTCTGGTGAAGTCTTCTCTTGATTGGTGACTTTGACACACATACACCTACCTCCTGGAGAGTGTTCTTGATCTGGCCAACTGTTGTGAAGGGTGTTTTCTTCACCAGGGAAAGAATTCTTTGGTCATCCACCACAGTTGTTTTCCGTGGTCTTCCGGGTCTTTTGGTGTTGCTGAGCTCACCGGTGCGTTCCTTCTTTTTAAGAATGTTCCAAACAGTTGTTTTGGCCACGCCTAATGTTTTTGCTATCTCTCTGATGGGTTTGTTTTGTTTTTTCAGCCTAATGATGGCTTGCTTCACTGATAGTGACAGCTCTTTGGATCTCATCTTGAGAGTTGACAGCAACAGATTCCAAATGCAAATAGCACACTTGAAATGAACTCTGGACCTTTTATCTGCTCATTGTAATTGGGATAATGAGGGAATAACACACACCTGGCCATGGAACAGCTGAGAAGCCAATTGTCCCATTACTTTTGGTCCCTTACCAAGTGGGAGGCACATATGCAAACTGTTGTAATTCCTACACCGCTCACCTGATTTGGATGTAAATACCCTCAAATTAAAGCTGACAGTCTGCAGTTAAAACACATCTTGTTCATTTTATTTTAAATCCATTGTGGTGGTGTATAGAGCCAAACATGTTAGAATTGTGTCGATGTCCCAATATTTATGGACCTGACTGTATATTGAAAAAGTTAAAGTGACACTGGACCTTTGTTTTTTTTTTTCTTCTAAAATAACAAACATGTCTATACTTACCTGTTATGTGCAATTATTTTGCACAGAACAGCCCCAATCCTTTTTTTTTTTCGGGTCCCCTCCAGAGCTCCTGGCTCCTCCTCCTTGAGCAGTGCCCCCAGAGAAAGCCGCCGGCTCTGGGGGCACCTTTGCATGCTCATCCCCGAGCGTACGTAAGACACATAGATCCATGGCTCGGCCCCACCCCCTCTCTGTCCTTATTGGCTCACTGGCTGTGATTGACAGCATCGGGAGCCAATGGGCTCCCATTGCTGTCTCAGCCAATGAGGAGAAAGAGGCTGTCGAGAACCTCGCTGGTTCGGCGGGGGCTCAGGCAAGGATTGGAAGGTGGATGGAGGATAGAATACATGAAGGTAAGAAAACATGGACCTTTTAGAACCACTCTAACAATTTCCATAGGGTCTACTTACTTTTTCACATGACTGTACTCCTATAATGGCTATATATGGTTCAAATTTCAGCTGATTCCAGCATAATCAGCCAAAATTCAAAATGTGGATGGCTCTGTCTATACCATCTGGTTTTTCAACTTCAATATGGTAATCAAAAACATTGGGGTAAAGTTCTTGGCCAAACAGTAATTTTTCTGGTATTCTGACAACTGTGGGAGCAACGGATGTCAGAATAAAATAGCAGGCAGAGAGACCACTCCAGCCATGGGATATGGGAATCTATTGATTTTTTTTGTTCAGCTTGTGAGGCTGAATGATAGAAATCTTAATGGGTATCGCTTAGCCTTCATGAACAAAAGGTAAGGGAGGCACTTTTAAAGAGAGTTGCACAGTGAAGAATTTTATTCATGCAGCTATAGTACTTAACAGCTCGCAGTTTTAAGGTTTCTAGGGTCTTTTCCCATAATTGCTGCGCAGCCAAACACACAGTCACTCCTATTAGATCAATGAACAGTCTAGGCATATGCTTTTCTGATGCTTTATTGTGAAACTTGAACTTGGATAGGTTCAGGGTAACTGTGGGATACTCCAGTAATTTGATCAGGAAATTGAGGACATTAATGTTCTTTTTAAAGATTTCAGCAGAGTCGTTGCACAAACAAATAGTAGACTGTGCTTCTTTAACAGCAACTTGAGGATGCTAAACTTCTTCCTAAGGATCTGAGCCCTTGTTGAAATGTTGAAAATTAGCTTTTCAGGATACCAAACACAATGTCTCCTGTAAGTAGCGCTGACTCCAGCACAAGAGGGGTGGCCACCGCACACAGTCTCAGGAATCTCTCACACCAGTCTGTACTCACTAAAACCCTTGGATGAATATCTTCCAGACATCTCTCTAGTGATACCAGACCAGAGCCCAGGATAAAAAGTCCATCAGTCAGCTCCAGCAACTTTCAGCAGAATAGCCCCCTAGCTAGCCTAGCTGGGATCTCATTGAACAGCAGACACATGGTGAGTCTGCCCAGAAGGACAGCAGCCGTCCTGGCTGTGGCCTCTTCATTTAAGACATAAGACTCCTCTGTTCCAGGTGTCATAGTATTTATACACTCTCCCAGCCACCATATGGGCACATTCTCCCCAGGGACTGGCCAGAGAAATATGCAGCTGCTGATTAGACTCTCCTAGTCCTCTATCTTCCATAACCTTTCCAGAAAGACAAGGGAAGAAGTCAAGCCTGCAGCCAGTGAAATATACAACAGACCAAAATAATCACACACAGCTCAACTGACTACAGTGAGCCCAAACTAAATTTACCTAACCTAGCACATATCTAGGAGTGTGCTTCACTGTGCTATGTCTCAAATAACACAGGATTCAGCACCAGTTAGCAAGCAGCCATTAAAGCTATCTGTGGGCTGCTTCCCATTCTGGATAACATTACAGCACTTGCCAAACTTTACAACACATTTAAATCAGAGTGATAATGGATGGTTGCCAAAATATTCAATGCAAGGATACTACACCTGAGCACTTGAAATGTCCATAGAATCTTTACAATCTGTTACCTCCCTAAGAAAGACAAATATATAAAAATTAACATCATCAATTCTTTATCATACTGTATTATTCAATTGCTTGGCAAAGATACAAAAAAAACAATATTGTAATTAGGACAGGCTCATGAGAAAATGATAAAAACTGGACAGTATACCAGAAAAGAAAACAGTATTACCCAAATTGTGCATCAACACTTTAAAGTATTGATACAGAACAGGTATGCAGATAAAGACTTCTGACTGTCCTGAGATGTTCCTGATCTGTATCTCTGACTTTTCACAGAAAATTGAAGACAGACTGCCAACCAACAGATTAAAACAAATCAGTGAAAACTCCTGTTTATCGTTCAAGAAAATTTTAACCAGCAACAGTTGCTGTCAAGATACTGTACCCAGGTATGAGAGGAACATCCTTGGAGAATGTTATATGCTATGCATAAACATGATTTAAAGCAGAAATAAATTCTGCTAGGGAATAGGGTGGGTGGTATTGAGCCATAATGTGTGAATACACACTTACTTCTTAGTGTACCCTGACTTCAGTGATGATAGATCCAGGATCCTATTGCTGCTCTGCCTGATGACACCACCATCTCCTCTGCTGTTACTTATGAGTCCAACAGTGCTTCTCTTCAGCCATTGGATGGCCATTGATGTTGAAACTCCTGCACATGCACAGAGGAGTTACAGCATCCCCAGTACCTGATTCTATTATTTCCCATGCCAAGAGCAAGCCGATATGTACACTGCATGGTGCATGCGCCATGCAGTCTCCATAGGAGAAGAAAAACTAAAGGTGTGGAGAAATTGTATCTTGGTAAAGTAGACTTGGTAAGTCTCTTTTGCAAATAAAAAAAAAATCCCTAGGTCCTTGCAATTTTTCACAGGGGGACTTTAGTTCCATTGTAGCATGCATGTCCTCAACATGAAAAATATTTTGACACTACGTGGCAGTTCATTTCCAGAGTCTATTATCGCAGTGAAGCAGCTGAAGTTGGCTAATCCTTCCAGGGTTTTTAAACCACTTCAGAGAATGTAATATAATTATAATTGAAAGCTATAAAAGTTGCAGTAAGAGGGCCGTTGTTGGGGACATGTTTGTAAGCTATAAAAGCTGCAGTAAGAAGGCCATTGTTGGGGACATGTTTGTAAGCTATAAAACTTGCAGTAAGAAGGCCATTGTTGGGGACCTGTTTGTAAACTATAAAAGTTGCAGTAAGAGGGTCATTGTTGGGGACATGTTTGTAAGCTGTAAAATTTGAAGCAAGAGGGCCATTGTTGGGGACATGTTTGTAAGCTATAAAACTTGCAATAAGAGGGCCATTGTTGGGGACATGTTTGTAAGCTATAAAAGTTGCAGTAAGAAGGCCATTGTTGGGGACATGTTTGTAAGCTATAAAACTTGCAATAAGAGGGCCATTGTTGGGGACATGTTTGTAAGCTGTAAAAGTTGCAGTAAGAGGGCCATTGTTGGGGACATGTTTGTAAGCTATAAAAGTTGCAGTAAGAAGGCCATTGTTGGGGACATGTTTGTAAGCTGTAAAAGTTGCAGTAAGAGGGCCGTTGTTGGGGACATGTTTGTAAGCTATAAAAGTTGCAGTAAGAAGGCCATTGTTGGGGACATGTTTGTAAGCTATAAAAGTTGCAGTAAGAGGGCCATTGTTGGGGACATGTTTGTAAGCTTTAAAAGCTGCAGTAAGAGGGCCGTGGTTGGGGACATGTTTGTAAGCTATAAAAGCTGCAGTAAGAGGGCCATTGTTGGGGACATGTTTGTAAGCTGTAAAAGATGCAGTAAGAGGGTCATTGTTGCAGATATGTTTGTAAGCTATAAAAGTTGCAGTAAGAAGGTCATTGTTGGGGACATGTTTGTAAGCTATAAAATTTGCAGTAAGAGGGTCATTCTTGGGAACACATTTTAAGCTGTAAAAATTGCAGTAAGAGGGCCATTGTTGAAGACATGTTTGTAAGCTATAAAAGCTGCAGTAAGAGGGCTGTTGTTGGGGACATGTTTGTAAGCTATAAAAGTTGCAGTAAGAGAGTCATTGTTGGGGACATGTTTGTAAGCTATAAAAGTTGCAGTAAGAAGGCCATTGTTGGGGACATGTTTGTAAGCTATAAAAGCTGCAGTAAGAGGGCCATTGTTGGGGACATGTTTCTAAGCTATAAAAGCTGCAGTAAGAGGGCCATTGTTGGGGACATGTTTCTAAGCTATAAAAGCTGCAGTAAGAGGGCCATTGTTGGGGACATGTTTGTAAGCTATAAAAGTTGCAGTAAGAGGGCCATTGTTGGGAACACATTTTAAGCTGTAAAAATTGCAGTAAGAGGGCCATTGTTGAGGACATGTTTGTAAGCTATAAAAAGTGCAGTAAGAGGGCCGTTGTTGGGAACATGTTTGTAAGCTATAAAAGTTGCAGTAAGAGGGCCATTGTTGAGGACATGTTTGTAAGCTATAAAAGTTGCAGTAAGAGGGTCCATTGTTGAGGACATGTTTGTAAGCTATAAAAGTTGCAGTAAGAGGGTCATTATTGGGGACATGTTTGTAAGCTATAAAAGCTGCAGTAAGAGTTCTGTGTTTGGGGACATGTTTGTAAGTTATAAAAGTTGCAGTAAGAGGACTATTGTTGGGAACACATTTTAAGCTGTACAAATTGCAGTAAGAGGACCATTGTTGGGAACACATTTTAAGCTGTACAAATTGCAGTAAGAGGGCTATTGTTTGGGACATGTTTTTAAGCTGTAAAATTTGCAGTAAGAGGGCCATTACAGAAACACGTTTTTAAAGTTCACCATTGGGAACATGTTACATGCTCCACCCATTTTTAGGGTGGAACATGTAACATGTTCCCATAGCTGCAGCCACACCCGCCGCTCCCCTTCCCTCTGACACATAATATGGGGAGAAGTTTCCCCATACTATTTGTCAGATATGAAAACAACGTGGCTGTGTGGGGCTCCGCCCACACGGCCACGCCATCATTCACGGACTGAATGAATAAACTGCAAGTCCAGACAGCCTCAGTGGCTGTGGGCTTGTAGTTTTCAATGAACAACGACGGCGCTGTGGAGTGGCAGTTCATTGAAGCTTCCTATCAGAATATCTGCTTGACCGTATATCCTGTACAGCAAGCAGATATTCTGACAGGTCTGCAGCAATCTACTGATCATTGGTGTAATACTTTACAGGCTGCTTTAGACAAAAATAATAAATGCACCTTTTTTTACCTACAAAAAAATGTGCATTTATTATTTTTGTCCAAAAGGTGAACTTATCCTTTAAGCTAAAAACATTGCATTAACAGAGCCATTGTTGACACATTTTTAAGCTTTAAAAGTTGCAGTTACAGGGCAATTGTTAGATACCCATTAATGAGCTCAGCATATGTTGGGCATTACAGTATGTGGCGTGGATAGAGTCAGCGGTATCTTGTTTACTGGCTCGCAAATGCAACAGGAAGTCCGCATTTAGTTTTAGGTTCTATGCAAAGCATATAAGCCTAGTCCTGATTAAAGCATCTATCTGGATACTGACAGTAACAAACAACCTCACTCACTTTGATGTAGGACAAGCAATGTAGAACCCAACAATAGAAAATCATGCTGCTGCCCCAAGCACGTTTAGGGTGGAAATAGCTATTTGAACGGAAAGGCTGACACTGACATTACAGAAAGGGAATGTATGACTTTATAGCTGTAAACTTCTTTAAAAAAAGACCTTTGTGAAGTGAAGGCTTGAAATACCTTTCTACTTAGCTATTTGTTTTGTAATGACATCAATTCAATCATTTTGTTCAGGGCATAGCAACTTTTCACAACAGAAAATGGTTAAAAAAAATACAATGTATTTTTCTTTTATCATTGTAATTTTTTTATGTAGCATCCATCATTTTTCAGAGTCATTGTACCATATTTCCATGACTGTGTAACATACAGTATCTCACAGGAGTACACCCCTCACATTTTTATAAATATTTTATAACATCTTTTCAGGTGACAACACTGACGAAATGACACTTTGGTGTCCGTTTATGACACAGAGAATAGCTGTGATTCAACGGATCTCAGCTATTCTCTGGTCATTCACAGTTTATGACACTCAGGAGATCATGTCAGCCCTTCACTGGAGATCTGTGTTCTCCCTCCAGATTCTCCAGCCCAGAGCTGGAGAATCAGAGGGACCGCAAACTAAGCAGAGATAATTTACCTCTGCTTAGTAAACTGATTTTTTACTGTAATCTCACGAGATTATAGTAAAATGAGCCGTTTTCCAGAGTTTGTAGACCGTTCTCCAGCGTTTGGAGACTGTTCTCCCTTCGTTCGGAGAACTGCTTAATAAACTGCATTCACAGGAGAACTGTGTTCTCCGAGAATGCCGGAGAACTGAGCAGCGATCTATTACCGCTGGTTCATAAACGGACACCTTTGCTACAATGTAAAGTAGTGAGTGTACAGCTTGTATAACAGTGTAAATTTTCTGTCCCCTCAAAATAACTCAACACACAGCCATAAATGTCTAAACCGCTGGCAACAAAAGTGAGTACACCCCTAAGTGAAAATGTCCAAATTGGGCCCAATTAGCCATTTTCCCTCCCCGGTGTCATGTGACTCATCAGTGTTACAAGGTCTCAGGTGTGAATGGGAGCAGGTGTGTTAAATTTGGTGTTATCGCTCTCACTCTCTCATACTGGTCACTGGAAGTTCAACATGGCACCTCATGGCAAAGAACTCTCTGAGGATCTAAAAAAAGATTTGTTGCTCTACATAAAGATGGCCTAGGCTATAAGAAGATTGCCAAGACCCTGAAACTGAGCTGCAGCAAGGTGGCCAAGACCATACAGCGGTTTAACAGGACAGGTTACACTCAGAACAGGCCTCACCATGGTGACAGCACTGAAGAAATGGCACTTTGCTACAATGTAAAGTAGTGAGTGTACAGCTTGTATAACAGTGTAAATTTGCTGTCCCCTCAAAATAACTCAACACACAGCCATTAATGTCTAGACCGCTGTCAACAAAAGTGAGTACACCCCTAAGTGAAAATGTCCAAATTGGGCACAAAGTGTCAATAGTTTGTGTGGCCACCATTATTTTCCAGCACTGCCTTAACCCTCTTGGGCATGGAGTTCACCAGAGCTTCACAGGTTGCCACTGGAGTCCTCTTCCACTCCTCCATGATGACATCACCAAGCTGGTGGATGTTAGAGACCTTGCGCTCTTCCACCTTCCATTTGAGGATGCCCCACAGATGCTCAATAGGGTTTAAGTCTGGAGACATGCTTGGCCAGTCCATCACCTTTACCCTCAGCTTCTTTAGCAAGGCAGTGGTTGTCTTGGAGGTGTGTTTGGGGTCGTTATGTTGGAATATTGCCCTGCGGCCCAGTCTCCAAAGGGAAGGGATCATGCACTGCTTCAGTATGTCACAGTACATGTTAGCATTCATGGTTCCCTCAATGAACGGTAGCTCCCCAGTGCTGGCAGCACTCATGCAGCCCCAGACCATGACACTCCCACCACAAGACAAACTTGTCTTTGTACTCCTCACCTGGTTGCCGCCACACACGCTGGACACCATCTGAACCAAATAAGTTTATCTTGGTCTCATCAGACCACAGGACATGGTTCCAGTAATCCATGTCCTTAGTCTGCTTGTCTTCAGCAAACTGTTTGCAGGCTTTCTTGTGTATCATCTTTAGAAGAGGCCTCCTTCTGGGACGACAGTGTGCAGTGCATGGTCTGAGCACTGACAGGCTGACCCCCTACCCCGTCAACCTCTGCAGCAATGCCGCCCAGCACTCATACGTCTATTTCCCAAAGACAACCTCTGGATATGACGCTGAGCACGTACACTAAACTTCTTTGGTCGACCATGGCGAGGCCTGTTCTGAGTGTAACCTGTCCTGTTAAACCGCTGTATGGTCTTGGCCACCGTGCTGCAGCTCAGTTTCAGGATCTTGGCAATCTTATATAGCCTAGGCCATCTTTATGTAGAGCAACAAATCTTTTTTTTAGATCCTCAGAGAGTTCTTTGCCATGAGGTGCCATGTTGAACTTCCAGTGACCAGTATGAGAGAGTGAGAGCGATAACACCAAATTTAACACCCTACTCCCCATTCACACCTGAGACCTTGTAACACTGATGAGTAACATGACTCAGGGAGGGAAAATGGCTAATTGGGCCCAATTGTGACATTTTCACTTAGGGGTGTACTCACTTTTGTTGCCAGCGGTTTTAAACATTAATGACTGTGTGTTGAGTTATTTTGAGGGGGACAGCAAATTTACACTGTTATACAAGCTGTACACCCACTACTTTACATTGTAGCAAAGTGCTATTTCTTCAGTGTTGTCACATGAAAAGATATAATAAAATATTTACAAAAATGTGAGGGGTGTACTCACTTCTGTGAGATACTGTATATAGAATTAAATAATTTCCTTCTATTGGTTGTTTATATTGCTTTGTCCTCAGTTGCTTAGATACAATGTCAGCCAAATTTCAGAATGACTGTGGTCAGGCTTGTACTGAGAGAACCAATCATTGTATAGCATTATTAAGCAGGAAGCCCAGTGTACATAAGTAATAATTAGCAAATATGTATTTTTCATATGCATAGAGTAAAGCTGGCTATACACTAGTAGATTTTTTTAAACAGAAAAATGTGTAAAGAAAGGCTGACATTAACAATAGTTACATTACAGAAAGGGAATGTATGACTTCATAGTTGTAAACATCTAAAAAAAAAAAAAAAAAAAAAAGACCTCTGTGAAAGCTTGAAATACCTTTCTACTTAGTTATTTGTTTTGTAATAACAAAAAAAAAAAAATTCCCGTATTATGCTCAGGGCATGGCATCTTTTCACAACATGGAGAACTGTTAAAGCAGGGTTCTCAATCTTCCTAATGCTGTGACCCTATAATACAGTCCCTCATGTTGTGGTGACCCCCCAACCATAAAATTATTTACCCAGTAATCATAATTCATGAAGTGTCCTTTTACCTCCAATACTGCTGCTTTCAACACAGTAGCTGCTTTTAACAGAGTAGCTGCTTTCAACACAGCATGTTTCTACACAGTAGCTGCTCTTTACACATCGGAATTATGTGTTTTCCGATGGTCTTAGGGGACCCCTGTGAAAGGGTCATTCGACCCCCAAAGGGGTCGCGACCCACAGGTTGAGAACCACTGTGTTAAAGGAAACTTACAGTATATTTTCCTATACAATTGTAATATTTGTAATATTTTTTTATGTAGCATCCATCTATATACAAAATTTCTATGACTATGTAACATATACAGAATTATAACATTTTCCTCTATTCATTATCTATTTTGCCCTGTCCTCAGTTGCTTAGATAAATTTTCAGCCACACCGACAGAATCATTGTGGTCTATCACTGAGAGAACCAGTCATTATGCAGAATTATTAAGCAGTAAGCCCAGCGTACATAAGTAATAATGAGTAAATATGGTTTTTCCATATGTATAGAGTTAAGTTGGCTATACACTAGTAGATTTGTGTATATTTGTGAGTATGAACATTTGCAGTACATTCAGTGACTTAATGAATTTCATAGGTCAAAATTTTGCATGCTTTTGATTTTGGAACAAATAGACTTTACAAAACGAAAACTGCATACACTGTTAGAGATTAATTCAAGAACAATTTTCCATCTTGCTCCATTGATTTTCTCCTCACTGTGGTCAAAAGCAAAAGCTGATTTGACCCCAGTAGTGATTAGGCTAGGTTCACACTATGGCAGACCACGCGACCTGTATTTGCTCAGGCATGGCAACCCATTCATTATAATCAAGATGTGGGCTGAGATGCTTGGGAGTGCCATTCAAAATGAATGGCAGCCCCGCACGTCTTGTAAGAGCAGCGTGATTCAGTTACGGGTAATTTAGGGTGCGGGAACAGATGTGATTCCTGCACCCAAAACCAGCCCGTATAATGTGAACCAGGGCTTAGAAAATATACCTTCTTAAAATGAAAAAATTTTAATGGAATTCTACTTGTGAACATACAGCTTAATGGCCTCTACAGTGATAAGATGATCTACAATAAAGTAAACCTTTTTTCAGTTAAAGTTTAATAAATTAGTTTTAGATGGTGATAGCAAGCACCGCCTGGTACTTGTAATACCTACTTGTTACCCTCAGTGGTGATACAGGGTATCCCAGGAGCCCCAAAATTTTAGTATGCAGGTTTCTATTTTTTATAAAAGTTGAGCCTAGTCACAACATCCTGCAATGTAACATGAGTACCCCAGCAACTTATTATGAACAGCATATACTGCACTATTTGATGTGATAATGGCATGTCTATGCTTGGAACCAGACACTTAAAATTATATTTTTAATATTTGAATGTAATTAAAAAATGACATTATGTTCTTGCTATTAATATTTATCAAGGTACACAATAAAGGTTGAATGATTAACAAATGAATGTCTTACTTTTCAGCCTCAATCTGAATCATTTTTTGTTTCATATCACTCAAACAGCCTTGGGCTTCAGACAGCTGATCTCGTATTTTCTCCAGATCATATTCCAAATCTTGGTTGGTACGTTTTAATTTCTCATTCTCTGATTTTGTAACCTTCTGTGTGCTGCGGAGGTTATGGAGCTCTCGTTCCAGCTGTTAGAGTAGAACAAATATGAATGGTACATGATATAAACGATGCAGTACAACTTGCCAGAAACACTGCTGCTGTGTTTTGCGTATATACTGCAGGTCTGGATAAACCAATTGCATCATGATTGCATTATCAGTTTCTGATATGAGTCTACCTGTCAGGGCTCCCAGGTGTGACCAGAGGTGTGTGACTGACGCAGGGAAACGCAGACTTCAGATATGTGATAAACAATATAATTTATTAACACTAACCATACAAACATAAACGCAGTGCAATACTAAAACATAATACAGTGCAAACAAACCAAACCAACCACCCACAAATAACAGTACATACAAGCAAGCGTCGTCAGGCAGGCCGGGTCAATATCAATAGGGCAGGTAGGTACAGGGGAAGCAAGCGGAGAATGGTCGGGGTCACAGGCCAGGTTCAGCAGGTAGCTAGCAGCGTAGTACAGAGGGTCAGGCAGAGGGATGGTCAGGGTCACAAGCCAGGGATCAGAACAGGTAGCAAGCAGCGTGGTACAGAGGGTCAGGCAGAGGGATGGTCAGGAGCGAGCCGGGATCAGAGCAGGAGAAGTCAGCAGCGGTTCAGATCAGGCAGGGTCAGCAAAGGAACAGAAACAGGATGCAGGACAGATACAGGGCCCAGGACAAACACAACACCAAGGCAGAGTCTGCAAGTCTGGCCATCCCTTAAATACACCAGTATCATCAGTTCCAGGTGTTAGCTGGCTGAAAGGTTGAGTCTCTGATTGCTGGGAGCACCCGCTGGCCAGCCCTGGTACTGCAGATCAAAAGGCAGGTGAGTCCCACCATTGCTGGCCAGTCCATTCCTGACACTACCTATGTGCCTATCTTTGCATTTAAGCATATGAGCCTGAAAAGCCTGGCATAAAGTATGGAAGAATGATCTTCATACCTAGAGTAAACATTATATCCTTTGTCAATATTATACAAAGAGAAGTTTAACTGATAAAACCATTTAAAAACCATTATTATATATTTTAACTTTCCAAAAAACAAAAAAGGAGTCTGTAGAATGGGGGACAGAAAGTAGATTCCCCATTGTAGACTCTGATCCCCTTCCACAGCTGCTTCCCTGTAGGTTGGCGGCCACTAAAAGAGTCTCTATAGCAGCTTCAAAGAAGATGAGTGGAAACACTCACCATGTTAAAAGCCTCAAAACTGTTTCTTAATCCATTCAAAAAACATACTAGTCCATCCGAGATACAAGAATCTAATGTGTTTCACTTGTTAGGTGCCAACTCATAGGGTCACGTTAGGGTGCTTGTACCTTGAATGGACAAGTCTGTTTGTTAGATGGGTTATTAAATAGTTTTGAGGCTTTCAACGGCCATTCCCATCTTCTTATATGGAACTGGTATAGACACTGTTTCCTGTTATGAAAGAAATGTGGTGTCAATGCTAATCTCTTTTTGTGAAAATGCTAGTTGCCTGACTGATGTGCTGACCCTCAAGGTCAGTGGCAGGAAACAAGTATAAAGATAAGGACTTTTCTCCTACATTCCTTATTGGGATAACTCTTTCTGATCAGTGACTGAGAAAGTACTGTAATCCATGAATCTAGTAACATTTTCAGAAGTAAATCAGCAACAGCAATCAGACTTTTCCTATTACAAGTCCCTTTGCAAAATTTTCATGTTTTAAAGTAACTTGTGACTATACGAAGGAAACTATTACTTAAAACTTTACCATGTTTTCTAGCTGCTCTCGTCTGTGAATGCCTATGTAAAAACTGATATTTCCAGGTATGGCAACATTTGGATATTTCTCCTCAATTTCCACAATTCAATAGTTGCCCAAGGGTTATCACCTGAGTGAGTGACATGTGAAAAAAGGGTATACTTAGGTTGGCCATAGATGACTTCTGTTGAGAGGGAACAACCATAGATGGATTGAAACTTGGCTGGACTTAACTGACCGAATGCTGATCATTGAAGTCCCGCTTAAGTCATATATAAATACTGACATTAAGAAGTCAAAAATTGTATAGGAAATTGCAAGCAGCATAAGGAAGATATTCTGTTTGCAATTATTGTATCTACTGTATAGCATATGAGCAAACAACAGGATTATAGGGTTTTAGCATTTTATTTCAGTCCTGCAATCACAGGTATAAATTCATTCAATATTTTAAAACTATTTTTGTGTTTGGCTTACTAATACAAATTTTAATCAGCTGATATGTATTACAAATAATATACTATTAGGAAATATCAGAAATGACAAGAATTAGCCCTCTGAGAATTTTTCGTATAAAAATACAATTTTTTTTTATACCTTGTCATTCTTAGTTGATGTGATCTTAATTAACATTGTGATTCCATTAGCCAGGGGTCAGTTGGTGAACTGTGGCCTTCGTTGGAGAGTAACAATTTCCAGACCACTTCTTAAGTGGTCAGTATAACAAGTCCGTACACACATGAAATACATGTACAGGTGCTGTATTATTTGTAAAATGATTTGTATTTCTGCTCATCCAGTCTTAAGATTTACATAACCTACAATGCTGTGAAAAAGTATTTGCTCCTTTCCTGATTTTTATTTTGCGTATTTGGCACAATGAAATTATTCAGATCATCAAACAAATTTAATATTAAACACAGTGAATAAATGCAGAGTTGGAAATATAGTGCATATAAAATATAAATATCAATATAAAACCACATGAATTCATGTAATGAATACCTTAATGAAAACTAATAAACATGGCTAATGAAAATGCTAAATCACCACCGTATACCGAAAAAATTGTGACATAAATAAAGTGCTCAGTCCTCAGGGGATACACCCGAGGGCGTGCTGGTGCATGAAACGCCTTGTGTGCTGACGTCATGGCGCATCACACTAGCACCACCTTGTTTGACCGTTATTATAATTTTTTTTTATGAAATTCTGTGTTAGTTTTACGCCAGATGTAAAGGGACACACACCTTACAAAAAGTTAAACTTTTGTCTCAGCAGTCCACAGAACATTTCCCCAAAAGTCTTGGGGATAATCAATCTTGAATCTTGAATTTCTTTAGATCGTGGAATGATGTGTTGCTTTTTGAGATCTTTTAGTGTGCTTCACTTTGTCAGACAGCTTAAATTTAAAAGATTTCTTGATTCATCAGGTCTGGCAGTAATCCGGCTTGGGCAGGGGTGTATTTACCACAAGGCAAACATGGCATTTGCCTAGGGCGGCATTTTTCATGGGGCAGCAGCATTTTTCAGGCGGGTGGCGCCATCCCCCCGAAAGAAGGAAAGGGAGAAGGGACACACGCAGCACAGGGGCCAGGTGGGATCTGAGAGAGGCTGCGGGCTGCCTGATGGTGTATGCAGAGCCTGACTCTTGTTCCCGGGGATGTCCGAAGCTGTGAAGGTGAGTGTCTTATCTTTTGCCAGGGTGGGGGTTGCCAGTGTATGGGGGGCGGTGGTAGTAGAAGGCTGTCTTGGGAGGGGGCGGCAGGAGTGCTGTTGGTCAATGTCAGGCTCCCTTCATGGGGAAAGCAGGTGTTGGCTGGTGTCAGGGTCTTTCCATGGGGGGAGGGCAATTTTTGTGTTGCCTAGGGCAGCACGGAACCTAAATACGCCACTGGGCTTGGGTGTGGCAAGAGAAGTTTAACTCAGCTTTACCAAAAATGTGGTTAATCACAGCTCATTCATGATTTAGCAAAGATGAGAGAGGGGGGGGAAATTACTTTTTCACAGGGCCAGACAGGTTTGGACAGCTTTTTATTCTTAAGCACTTCAATACAGTGCACTTTTACCCCTTTACTGCCCAGTGTTAGCCTGCACGCCTGCTGTGTGGAGAAAGGAGGGGATTGAAGCTGATCCTGAGCTGAAAGGCAGCCATGGTGGGTTTGCCAGAACATCAGGAACATATGTTTGGGACCTGATTCTTGGGGTCTGGTGTGATATTCCAGTGCTGGTACTGGGCATTTCCTCCCTTGAGTGTATCGTTATTGGTGTTTGCCGATTGACCATTGGGGTGTATGGCACTGCTGGTGGTTGCTTGGTCTTCAGAGCACAATATTCTTATTCTTTTAGGAGGGACTGTTTCCTCCTCCAATTCGGTCACTGACCCACTACTTTCTACTGGCTCGTAGTCCGAATCGAAAATGGATGGTGAGAGCTCCCTGGATTTTATATGCCTCCTAACTAGTAAAATATTTTTGGGACATGGCAGCTCTGGTGATTGCAGCTGTATAATGGGTAAACTGCTGATGGGAGGCTATGATGGGTACACTGCTGATAGGTGGCAGTGATGTCAGCTCTATGACAGGTACACTAATAAGGCTGCACTGATGGCTGTGGTGACAGATGCACTGATGGGCTGCACTGACAGGTCCACTGAAAGCTGAACTGACAGGTACACTGGTGGCTGCATGAGGGACACAGCTCCTCACTGGTTGTCACACCCTAGGGGCACGCACAAGCGGCACAATGAGAAGGAGGTCATAGGACACCCACTCAGATGGACACCCGGCCATCAATCTGCTATAGACTGAGCAGGAACGTGTTAATAAATAAATAATTTAAAAAATTAATTTTGTATTTACTCAGGTTATCTTTGTGTAATATTAAAATTTATTTGATGATCTGAATCATTTAAGTGTGACAAATATGCAAAAAAAAAAATCAGGAAAGGGGCAAATTATTTTTCACTGCACTGTACCATACAGCACAGCACTGGCAGGGCAAAAAAGTTGATTTTCTGTGCTGCAATTATTTAACACCCAAAGGTCTTGTTCTGCCCCCAGACTGTGACAGAACAGTGAAAGGAGAAAGCAGTAGACTGATGTCCTCATCTATCTGACTCTCTGCGCTCTCCTATCAGCATGATCATTGTTGGCACATGAATGCAGCAGCACAGCAAACTACCTCTTTGGGCTGCCTCTCCCCCCTCAAGAGTTCTGTTGTACAGGTGACCATAAGAAACTGATACTAAACCAAGTGTACCCAGATTACCATACATGCTCTTGGGTACGAAGCCTGGCAGTAATGTATTGCTGTTATCATTGATAATTCTATGTATTTATTATTATATATTGGGATTTTTCTCGTCACTGTATATGTCATTGATATGTTGTACTCCTGATGAAGCATCTGTCTTTGGCTGTGAAACACGTAGAGCAGTGACGCTCCTCCTCTTTTACTCTCTCTAAGTTCTCAAGGATCCCATCTTGAAGAATAATTGCTATATCAACACTCTGCTATCTTGCCTGTGTTATCTTTGTTATATGACTGAGAAAGATAACAAAGGGGTTGCAGCCATATGAGCTAATGTCATCATTCATTTTAATAAGGACATTTTATTTTATTGCCACGTGGATTTTATCATTAAGTCATGAATAAAAATATATACGTACAGTTGCAAGAAAAAGTATGTGAACCCCTTGGGATTACGTGGAGTTTTGCATGAATTGGGCATAAAATGTGCTCTGAACGTCATCTAAGTCACAACATTAGAAGAACACAGTCTGCTGAACATAATACTACACAAACATTAGATGTTGCCATGGTTTAATTGCACATAACATGTAAACATTCACAGTGCAGGGAGGAAAAAGTATGTGAGTCCCTAGCTTAATGACTTCCCCCAGAGCTAATTGGAGCCAGGAGTGAGCCAACCTTGACTCCAATCAGTGTGGTGATATTGGATGTGTTGCTGACAGCTGTCCTGCCCTTAAAAAACACACACCTGTTTTGGGTTTACTGGTTTCAAGAAGCACTGTCTGATGTGAACCATGCCTCGCAGAAAGAGCTCTCAGAAGACCTACGAAAAAGAATTGTTGACTTGCATGAAGCTGGAAAGGGTTACAAAAGTATCTCCAAAAGCCTTGATGTTCATGTGTCCACGGTAAGACAGACTGTCTACAAATGGAGAAAGTTTACCACTGTTGCTACTCTCCCTAGACGTGGTCGTCCTGTAAAAATGACTGCAAGAGCACAGCGCAGAATGCTGCATGAGGTAAAGAAGAATCCCAGAGTGTCAGCTAAAGACCTACAGAAATCTCTGGCACATGCTAACATTTTTGTTAACACATCTACAATAAGGAAAACATTAAACAAGAATGGAGTACATGGGAGGACACCACGGAGGAAGCCATTGCTGTCCAAAAAGAATATTGCAGCACGTTTGAAGTTTGCAAAAGAGCACCTGGATGTTCCACAGCACTACTGGCAAAATATACTGTGGACAGATGAAACCAAGATTGAGTTGTTTGGGAAGAACACACAACACTATGTGTGGAGAAAAAAAGGCACAGCACACCAACATCAAAACCTCATCCCCACTGTAAAACATGGCGGAGGGAGCATCATGGTTTGGGGCTGCTTTGCTGCCTCAGGGCCTGGACAGATTGTTGTCATTGATGGGAAAATGAATTCCAGAGTTTATCAAGACATTTTTCAGGAAAACGTACGACCATCTGTCCACCAACTGAAGCTCCGCAGAGGATGGGTGATGCAACAGGACAATGACCCAAAGCATACAAGTAATTCAACAGAACAATGGCTGCAACAGCACAGAATACGCCTTCTGGAGTGGCCCAGTCAGAGTCCTGACCTCAACCCGATTGAAATGCTGTGGCATGACCTTAAGAGAGCGATTCACACCAGACATCCCAAGAATATTGCTACACTGAAACAGTTTTGTGAAGAGGAGTGGTCCAAAATTACTCCAGATCGTTGTGCAGGTCTGATCTGCAACTACAGGAAACGTTTGGTTGAGGTTATTGCTGCCAAAGGAGGGTCAACCAGTTATTAAGTCCAAAGGTTCACATACTTTTTCCTCCCTGCACTGTGAATGTTTACATGTTATGTGCAATTAAATCATGGCAACATCTAATGTTTGTGTAGTATTATGTTCAGCAGACTGTGTTCTTCTATTGTTGTGACTTAGATGACGTTCAGAGCACATTTTATGCCCAATTCATGCAAAACTCCACATAATCCCAAGGGGTTCACATACTTTTTCTTGCAACTGTATATAATTGTTAGGATTGTCATTGTCTATGGTGCTGTGAAAAAACCCCTATTGTGTCTGATACTAAATCAAATTAGGGCACTACCTGTATGTAGCAGGGGCAGACTGACAACTCATGGGGCCCCCGGACAACAGGGGAACATGGGGCCTCTGTGTCCTTGCCCAAACTCAAAAAAGCCTATGAAAAAGGTACCAGGGGCATCTCATGGGGCCCCCTACTGACCCCGGGCCCTCGGGCAGTGCCTGAGTTTCCAAATGGTCAGTCCGCCCCTGGTATGTAGCTTGCATTTTCTCTGTGTGCTTGCATGGGTTTGAGTATTTCAGTTTTCACACACTCTAATGCTGTGCTGGTAGAATAATTGGCTCCTCTAAAATTGGTGCAATGTGTGCATGTAAGATAGGGACCTTAGATTGTAATTTACTTTAGGGCAGGAATTTATGTGAATGTAAAATATATCAAGAGTTGCATAAATGATTGCTATATAAAAACCTGTACTAATAATAATAATATAATAACTACATTGCTTGCACTTTTAAAAGTAAATTAAAAGATGTATTAAGGAATACAGAGATGCCATAGTTATTGTCTTTGATATTTGCCAAGGAGTTCCGCTTTAAGTTAAAGTGGTTATAAAGGCTCAAGGTTTTTTTACCTTCATGCACACTATGCATGAAGGTAAAAAACATTTTGTGTGCAGCAGCCTCCCTAGCCCCCCCCCATAATACTTATCTGAGCTCCATTGCAATCCAGTGATGTGCAAAAGAGCCTCGAATTTCCGAAAACTCTCACTCCTCATTGTCAATCACTTCCGATGAGCCAATGAGGAGAGATAGGGGAGGGGCCGAGCCATGGCTCTATGTGTGAATGGACATGCAGAGCAGCAGCTCAGGAGTGAGCCTGCGTAGGTGCCCCCATAGCTAGCTGATTGCTGTGGGCGCACTCGGCAGGAGGGAAGGGCCAGGAGCACCATCAGAGAACCTGAGAAGAGGAGGATTGGGGCTGCTCTGTGCAAACCATTACACAGAGCCATTGAGTATAACATGTTTGTTAACAGTTGCAGTAAAAAAAGAGCAAATGTGAATAGATGATCGCATGAGAGTCTAATAAAATACTTTTTCTTAAAATTTTCTTTAAATATTTTGTTTAGCTAACATAATTTGAGTAATTTAAGCTTTACATAAATAATTAAATGAACACAGAACACAGTAATTAGTACTGGATATAGACATTTGGCCCCGTGTATGTAATTATTTGTTTTTGTTTTACATATTCTAAACCTCAATGTCTTACCTCGTTGTGAACAGAAATCAGCTGCTGCACCTCTATGTTCTTCAAATCTATCACATCTTTCATTTCTTGATTGTGGATACTGCTCCGGGCATCACGCTGAACAAAAAACATCAATAGAATATTCAAACTTTTTGGAAGTATTTAATATGATATGTGTAGACTGGACATTTCTCCAACCTCTTCTCAACAACATATGAAAAAGTTGATCATAACTGCATAATGCAGGATACACATCACATGATTATAAACTTCAGCAAAATCAAATAAACTTCAAATTAACTATATAAAAATGTGAAACAGTTATTTCTTGCATGCCATATGTTTTTAAGTTAAAGTAAAACTACATCAAAATCTTTTTTTTTTTTGTCATTTTGGTATGAAGGATTATTATTGGGATTACTGAGGATATGGTAATTTGATCTTTTTTAAGATGTCAGTAGCCCCAATTCATAGTAAAGTAATATGGTGCTGGTTACCAATTTTACTGTGAATAAAATGATAACGGGCTTTTAGAAAATGGCTACCGAGAGTCCAGTATTTAGCTGTTAAAGATCTGAGAAGTGTCCTTCACAAATTTGGCGGTTTGTAAATCATAGTAATATGGCTCCGCTTCTCAGTCCCCCACCTTCATGGGAGATGTGTGCTGGTAAGGCTTCAAAAAGCTTGAACAACATCAGCACTAGAGGTCCACTGAAGATGTCCCGTTTGACGAAACTCATAGGGAGGAGTTTTAGTGCTAACGTCACGGAGCTACTGTGAGATGCAGTGGCTTGTTTTGTGAGTCTGTGCCTTTCTTGGATTCAGATGCTTCTTTTCATGTACTTGCACTACTTTTAAAGGCTAAGTTCACCTTTCTAACAAAATAAATGCACATTTGTGTAGGAAAAAAGTGCATTTATTATTTTTTTAGGTTCCTGAAAAGCATTGCACCCACAATCAGCAGATCGAGAACTACAAGCCATCAGCTGCAAAGGCTGTCGGTATTTGTTGTTCGTTCATTCACAGATCTCTGTGAATGAATGATGTGTACGTGTGGGCAGAGCCATGTTCTTTTCAAATTGTGACAGCGGGTGCAGGGAGAAGATGCCAGACTTACTGCCACAATGGGGGGGTTAGGATCGGTGGGAGGCTGCAGGAGTGGGAACATGTTACATGTTCCACCCTAAAAATGGGTGCAATCTGTACATGTTCCCAAAGGGGAACCTATCCTTGAATAAATACAACACTATAGTTTTATTCTATTTGCTCATGTGGTGATCTTTTTTCCTGACATAGTTTTGTGCAGGCTTGCTATGTTCCTGGCTATCAGCCAGAATCTTAAAGGGACAGTAGGCTTGCTTGAAACTGGTAATGACTGTAATGACAGTGGAGGAACAAGCTAACCTGGGTGTTATTGTCAGAGATTGCTGTGCTGTGTTTATTGCAGCAAAACCTTCTGGGGAGTTAGCAATTCACTTAAAGGGTGCAGTGTGGATACTCACTAGAAGAGTTAATCATCGACTGCACAGGGTGGTGGAGACACATTTATTTCTTTATTTAATAAAATGTATGCCTTTTTTCGAGACACTTTGGACATTTAATTGAGGAGTATATCTCATGTATTTTATTATTTAAACTGATGGTGTTATTTCATAGTTTATTGCATTTATGTTTATTTTGGCACCGCACACTGTCTTTTTCATATTTCATATTAGGTTTTGTGTACCAACCTATTTGCTTGCCATCTGCCTAATCCCTGTAAGCGCTGGCAATTTACCATATATTTAATAATAAAAACCTGACAGGTTGTCTAATCCATCTCCACTCTACCACAGGTACCACTTAAAAAAACGTAGGGCCATCTTCAAAGAAAACAATAAAGCCAAAAAAGTCCCTAGTTACCTTGCATATTTTGCCCTGTTATAACCATGAAAGTAAAAACAGAATTCTCAATATATTTTACAATGACTGCAGAAAACACTACTCCAGGATCCCACATTGGCCAGCTATGCAATGGGTCATGTAGTCAGTACTAAAAGAGAGAACCAGCCTCTCACACCCACATGCAAAAATAACACTTGATGTCTACTTGAGCTGCGTTTTATGATATTTTTGGTATATTCTGCAGGTGTAGAATCATTTTAGTATGTAGCAGGACAGGGCAAATTAGATTAAATAGTAACTGTACTACACATGTGAACAAGACCATTTTACTAACTTGAAACTTATTTGAAATGCTTAAAGTGTCTCCTTTCCGTAAATCTTTTTTATTCACTTGCAATGTGCCTTTGAACATGCTAGTTTGACTACACCAGGAGAGTCAAATCTCCAGCAAAGCCCCAAGCTCCTTGAACGTATAGCCCTCTTACCTTTTTTGGAGTGTCTAATAAAGCAGGCCATAGACGAGTTGAAAACTGAATGAAAATCCTTGGTCATTAATTTTTCACATCATTAGTGTGCCATACGATTTTCACGTCACAATCGAAAGTGTCTGATCCAAAATGCTGGATTTTGTTTAGAAAAATGAAACAAATGATGGCACAATCGTACACACGTTTTTCGTTTTTCGATAGACAACACAATTTGTTTTCGACTCGTCTATAGTCTGCCTTACTCTCTGTGCTGGCCCAGCATCTCTACCCCTCGACTCACCTCCCTACATAATCTTTCATACAGCTGCTGAGACTATAGAGTGACAGCAGCAGATGACAGGTCCATGTCTGCTCAGTTTATGCAGAGGGACAGAGCTCCGTAAACAGACCAGCTGTCAGTTGGTACCCTACTGCCCTCTGATGCAGTCTGCCTAGATGAAGGAGGACAGATCCCCTTCTGTTTGTTTTTAGCAGATCAGATCAGAGTCCACTCCATTCTTCCCCCTTCAGTAACCACACTGTCCAGGTGTGGGGGCTGGGGTCGTACTAGTCAAATGTTAACAAACTCATGCATTTATCTAGCCCCTGTTGAAGTTGGCTAGCTCTGCAAATGTCCATATTTCAGTTCTGGGTCAAACTGCAATTATATCATTTTTTATCAATTATTACACACTCCTACTTTATAAAGGCTTAACAACAGGATCCTCCATTTATGCTCAGCAACTGCTGTCAAGCTGTTGCACCATGAGTAGAGTGCAACACTGGTTTTAATAAAGTTACTGTTTATTTTGACTTCATCTGAGTTTTATCCTGTGTTGAGCCCTGGTAGAGAAGTGGTGTTACCCCTGAGACGCATAGGCTGTTTTTACATGACCTTTTCACCAACAATTAAAATGATCTTGGACTCGTTCATCCAGTTTTTGTCTGGTACTCCTTTCTGTGTTTCTAGGAATGGCCTGGCCTCAGGGTTTCTTGAAGAGATGCCCAGCCTGTTTTGTTAAAAGGGCCACTTTGTGAAAAAAATGGAATCCACTTAGAACGAAACCTCATTGTCATACGATTTGTACCAGACATTAAATCCTAAGTCCCCCTTTTGCTGCTGTTCTATTAAGATGCTGTGAGAGACAGGTGTCTGTTGCAAATACTGTAAGAGTCTGGTTCCATGCTTCAAAAAATGGGAGTGACACTGTCTGATAAACTTCTGCCATGTAGTATGAGACTGTGAGAGAAAATATAGTGAACATCCATTGCCATGTTACAGGAGATGCAGTCATCACTGCCATGGTAAAAGAGATTCTATGGACTTCTGTAATGGTACAAGACTACAAGTGACCATTGTCATGTTACAAGAGACTGTAAATACCACTGTCTTGTGGGTGGTTCTGGCCTAAGTGACCCATTTAGAAATGTGGCTATTATGACTAGCAAGGCTAAAAAATTATAAATGTTAGGTAATTCTAAGGCTAAAGTCATTGAGGTGATGGACTCTCTACCTCGTGGGTTAATCTCTTTATTTCCTCTCGCATTTGCTGCTCCATTTCTTCATAAAGACGCTGCACTTCTTCATTGTGTTCAGCAATTCTCCTGGGTTAAGAAACACACAGACGTTTATGGAAATTTATGGAAAATATGTACTGTATATAACATGCAAATAAATCTTATTATATTGTCAAACTTTTACATACAAGAGGTATAAACCTAAATAGCTATGAAATGTTTCTAGAACCTTGTCAAAACATTTTAGGCCCAATGTTCAATTTATTTCAGCTAAATGGTTCCCAGGTGCATAGAAACAAAAAGGTATGCAAAGTCTTAAGCCCCTTTCACATGGGCGGACCGGCAGACCTTGAAAACAGAGAGGAGGACCATCCATTGTTCCCTATGGGGTGGGTGATGTAAACGGACATGTGTCCGTTTACACCCGCCTGTATTCGATCTGATCCACTAAAAACAGATGGATAGGGGATCTGTTTCCCATCAATCTAGCAAATCGGATCAGATGACAGTCTGATGTAAACAGACAGGCGATCCATTTACATCAGACTGCCCCATAAAGAACAGCGGGCTATGTCCATGTCCGCTCTTCACAAGCAGAGCAGACAAAGACCTGTCATCCGCCTGTTCAGAGTGGATCAGTGGACAGAATGAAGTCCGCTGTGTGAAAGGGGCCTTACAGTTCATTTTTTTTTAGGAAGCCTGAGTAGATAAGCCTGTCCACTGCCACCAGGCTGTAGAGGGGGACCCCTGGTCTCTGTGTGCCCTCTACTGACACAAAGCAAGAGCTCTTCTATCAGCAGGGAGTGCAAGCTTTACTAATTACATAGCAATATTTCTGAATTTGCAGGTGTAGCAATACCTCCTTAAGGGTTGCTTAGTAACTGATTTGGGTTGCAAGCCCAACCTCTGACACCTGTAAAATGGACTCTCATACAAGTAAGGTAACCAATATGAAATTGGAATCAAAAGTAACTTGGTCAAAAAAGAACAAAATTACATTGATATATGCAGTAAACCCACATTTGGTAACTGTGAGCCAAAGTATCAACATTCACCATAAAGCAACAATAACTGTCAGCAGGCCTGATTTCAGAAATAATGCACTGCCTCCAATCTGAGGGGACTGAATCCCCAGTGAGCAGAATACAACTATCAAGAAACATTTAAGCTCATTGTGGGTCCTCAGAAATAGATGTCATGGATTAGATGTGAAGGAAAGAGAATTCTCATATGAAAATCGAACACTGTCACTTTAAGAACACTACAACGCTACAACACTGTGCGCTCGTTGGGGCCCAGTTGGTATGAAGTTCAATTGAGGTGTATAGAATAGTTCCTTTGGATAGTGACACAGAGTTAGTGAAGGAACAAAGGGATAATTAACATTTTTCCTCTTCATAGTAGCGAATTAAGGCAGGGGCCCCTTTAAAGCACTAAACATGGGGCAGGCTTGAAGTGATAATTAACAACAATTGGCATGAATGTCTATAGGCAAAGACAGCTCCCTTAGTACACCAAAAGCAAAAGTTAACAGTAAAGAGAATACTGCTTTGTTGAGGAAGGGAAACTTGTAGTTTCAGTGGACATTGTTGTATCCTGGCCTGCAACTGTATGTTCAGCTTGTACAAGGAACTGCAATGTAGATGTAGCTCAACAATGGCGGCTGCAAGAACTGAAACAACTACATGTAATGTTCACATGTTATGTAGGACGATGGCTAAGGTGGCAAGCTCTCCCACCTGATTAAGTAGTCCGGCAGATCATAGCAGTTGATCTCTCTCTGCAAACGGGGTCAGTCCACAGATTCTACGGCTCAGACTTGACTCCCGTCTGGTCTCCTGCTGTCAGACTGGCCTGCTGGGCAGCGTGGCAGACTGGGTGATCAGTAGGCTCTTTCCGCTCTCTCTCCAACTCTGGCTCCACGGCCTAGTTCACCACTTCAGCCATCAGCACACCTCCTTCTCTTTCAGTCTCTCCACGCACTCTCCTGGCCAATCTTCGTGCTTTGATATATTTTATATGCCCCCGCCCACATACTACTTCTCTTGGGAAATGTAGTCCCTGACTGCCCTGATCAACAGGTGAGTCCTGCTATACAGCATACAAGTTCCAGAGGGCTGTTCTGTCCATGTGTGCGACCCTGAATGGCAGACTACAGCCATCTAATATCCATTTTAATGTACTGCAAGAAATTTTAACATTATATTAATTTAAAAAAGTGCTACTTCCAAACGACAGCTTTGTCTGTGTCAGGAACAAGAGTCAAACCAAAGCCAATCTGTGTGTGGGAAGCCAGCTTATGCCTCCAGTGCAATAGAGCCAGGCACCAGATTTAATGGCAGCTATGGAAAATGTGGGGGACAGAAGATGGAGTGCTCAGAAGAAGGACAACTTTATCTGGTTTAGCAAGTGTGGAACCAAATTCATCTAGTGGGATGGCATCCAGATTTTTCCCATTATGTATTTCCAATTTACTGATGCCTAAAGGCCAGTGGATACAGCCACCCGCAGGAAATGTAGCAAATGTAGTTTTTTTTACATGCTTTATCAGAACTCACTATTCTGGTTATCTTTTTGAATAATGTTGTTAAGTCCCAGGTCAGAAGCCACCATCATATTAATTGATGGACTGGTGCTCAATGTGAAGTTCTGGCACATGCATGTATCACATATTAGGGATTTGGCAAGCAGCTTGTGTTGATGCTGCTTTTTAGCCAAGCAAACACTGGGTGTCTATAACTATCTAAAGAAGCCACACACTCTTCCAGCCTGCTGCAGGACATCCTGAAAGCCAGGGTACCTAACCAGGAACAGATGCACAACCTTGTTCAGAGCATGTGCCAGGCAAGGTACAAGTGTGTGAACTTTCCCCATCAAAAGAGGGGCATCAGGCCAGACCTAGCCTGGCAAAAAGATAGCATGAGGTCAGCCATCTCTCAGTGTGCCTATCCCTAAAGATTCTCTGCAATCTCTGGCCCAGTGTGGAATCTGTCCCCTAGGCATAACAGCTGCAAAACAGCATGGCATTTTTGCCTGGGTCACTGGATAGGCTTTGAGGTACTTGAAGGAGACAGGTGGTTCTGAGGTTATGATTGAAAAGAGCGGGGGAGAGGTGGCTGAGCTGTCAGCAAGGTGCAGGACAAGGGGCAGCACCACCAGCTCTAGTGGTATGCCCTATCTTGCATATCTGCCACCATCAAATTTTCCCAGTGGCTCATGAAGGAGATGTACCATTCCTGCCTATGCTTGTTGGCCCACATGTCTGTGGTCATGTGGATCCCAACACTGACTTGTAGTTAAGTGATATAGAGACATGCTGGTGGTGCAACCCAGGCTATAAACTGGCAGAAGTGGGTAGACTCTGCCAGCTGAAGTGGGAGCAGATTTAAAGTCATTAGTTTTGCCAAGCTGTAATTGAGATGCTGGGTAAGGGTGTGATTAACGAACATTTTTTTTTTTCCCACTCCAGAAGCTGCAGAAGTAAAATCTGTCTTGCAAAGGATGCTGCTGGAGACAACAGGATGGGGTTAGGAAAATTATGGCAAGAATAAAGTTTACTCTTGGTCTGCTCAGTAGGCAGACCATAATAAGTTAAGGCTCTTAAACCCCTTGTGAGTCTGTCCCCACTATTGCTGGAGGCTGCAGATGTTGCTGCATATACAGGTGGTGAAAATTGTTGAGGGTAGGGAGGGTATAGAGTGAGAAGCAAGGTGAAGTGCGGGAAGAGTCAGGCCAAAGGGTAGGCAGAAGAGGAGTCCCCTTGGGAAAAAATGGAAAGACCTCCAACCTACGCTGCTGAACGGCTTCAGAACTCAAGGAGGAGAGGCACTTTGGTATTTTCACTTTGGGTGCTCAACGCTGAAAACAGGCCTTTTGCTGCCAACTGGTATCATTGAGGTCCTGCTCCCATCAAGTTCTTCTTTGTCATAGTTATGTGTTTCCTCATACATGTGATACCCACATGGGTGGTACCTTCACCACAGCTGATACACTGCAGACAGGGACTGCAGACAACCATCATTTGAAAACAGAGTCCCCCACTGCAGAGCTGTTTCAATTTGCTGCCTATTCAAGTGCTCAGGTATTGGCCTTACACTAACCAAAAATTCTACCAAACACATACCGGAATTCTGCATTTTGAATTTTATGGGACTAATTGGGGATAGAGGGATGGGAATAGATCTGGGGACTATGGGGTTGTGGTTTTGAAGTGTTTTGATGCACTCTGACATTGCAATGTGGTACTATGAAAAAAGAAGCACACAAATGAAACTATGAAACTGATCAACTTGTCCAAACTTGATGGCTTAAGCATTATTTTTATTAAGAGTATAATTCCCTATAGCTTTTAGATCTATTGTAGCTGCTATTCTGACCAACCAATTTATGACTGTTATTGATGGTTAATAAAAGTCAGGTGTCACATCCAAAAACACCTAGAAAAGTTTTTTCTCTATTTATCATGATGAATCTGATTAGGGTGCTCTTGTTGCTATATTAAAGCCAAGCAATAAATGTTAAAAAAAAGTATTACACATGCAGTTGAAATGACTAGGGTTTTTTCAATGTTGCCCTCCAAGGTGCCTAAAAGGGAAGACGCTCTCCCCATTGTGTGATACTGTTAAAAAAATGTTTGCGTGAGTCTGCCATGGTAGAGCCCAACTCTCTATACTCTTTGTTTGATTGATCCTTTGCCTATTATTAGCCTTAAAAATGACAAGAATTTGTTTTTAAGATTCACCACCCCTCTTTGACTTCAGTGGGGTTTGGATTAAGAGAAGTGTAAATAATAAACATACTTATTTTTTCTGCTGCTGCTTCACTATTTCTTTACTACTGCAAGTATTCTTCACTTTCATACTGTGATGTGTGAAATACCTGCTCCTCCCCCCCCCCCATGCTGTGGTTTTTCCTGCTGGCTTCTACTACTATCACAGCACAATCTATTTATGTAATTACATTTTGTGCTTTAAAATGGAAGGCAAAGAGACATGAAAACATAAGTGCAAGATCATTCAAGATC